AAAAACACACAAAAAAAACAAACAAACAAGCCCAACAACAAACAACAACAAACAAACAGACAAAACGAAAACAAAACAAAAAACAAAAAAACAAATACAGTACAAACAAACAAAGCAATAACAAAAACAAATTTGTTACAAATCCCATGCAAGATCAAGAGCTCGACCTTTTGCCTTTACTGCTCTGAAATATTGGGTCTCCAAACACGTATTAACAAATATGAGTTTACACTCTAGTTTCAGTTTTAGTAAGATTTTACGGCGCTCGGATGTTTTTAAACTGATTTGCATTAAGCTTTTTCTTCTCTAACAAAATAACACAGTTTAGTGAATCAAATATTCAGCGTTTTCTAGAATTTTTTTCCAAACATTTTGGATATGTTGCGTTTTGTCATAAGACTCTTCATATTATGTCATATGTCAGGATAGTTTTGACCTTTCCAGCTTTAATTGCTTGTTCAGAGATACGGACGAACTGAAGGGAGACGCCAATTAATCAAGATGGATAACAGCAGCGATATTGTTACTGAATGGAGAGCGCTCGTGAAACCGAATTAATAATAGGATGCTGCACTGTGAACAGTAGCCAAGGTGCATTTTTTATAAGTGAAAAGATTACAACTATTGGATGTTTTCGGTTCGCGTTAATCCGGCTAGAATCACGGTGGTCTGTATGCAGTTCGCATGTCCTGTTCTCAAACATTATTATCGTTCGTGTATGACTTTGTGTGCGGTGGGGCTGGACGAGAAACTGATTAGTTAAGGAACCGATTACAGCTGTCGTTTTCACAAAAGAAAAGTATCGGTTCCTTTTAACTCAAATGAACGGTTACTAGATCTAGTTGCTTTTTTTAATTATTTATTTTTAAAAGAAATTTCTTTTGAAAAGCAACCACAACAGCAACAACAACAAAAGACAACAACAACAACAGCAACAACAACAATACCAACAACTACGGACAAGTGTTGGTGTCTCGCCGTGTTTCGAAATCGAGATTATTCCGAAGCTGTTCGGTGGGTGGTTGGCGGGTGGTCTGGTGTGGTTTGCTTCTTCTTTCCAAGCAAACGTCTATTGTCCTTATCTCACCTTCTTCTTTTTTATGTGTGTTACTCTCTTAGAACGTGGGTGGTTGGCGGGTGCTCTGGTGTGGTTTGCTTCTTCTTTCCTATCAAACATCTATTGTCCTTATCTCACCTTCTTCTTTTTTATGTGTGTTACTCTCTTGTAACACCTCTAATCTTCTGGCGCTCATATGACCTTATGCAGTTGCGAGCGCCGTAAAACCCTCTACTAAAACTAATCTCTTGGAACACCTCTAATCTTTGGCTCTTATATGACCTTATTATGTTTGCAAGTGCCGTAAAATACTTACTACGACTAAAACAGAAGCTGTTCGGAGATGACCAGGCAACCGGTAATTGGTTCGGACTCAACGGAAGTAACAAGTACTCGCTGGAAGTAATCAAGCAATTGATGTATGAAATATATATTTATATCACACGGCTCGTTTACGATAAATTGCTATCATATAATTATTATCTCGCAAGAAAGTTCTAGCCCTTTCCAACAATAATTATTTTCCAGAAATATACATTATGAGAAAAACAATAACACCTCTAAGACTTTAAATGTTTTCAGTACAGCTGTATCCAATTTTGAAATAAAAACCTACAAAACAAAACAACATTATTATACTGATCATTTTTTCCAAAAGTTTCTGTGCATGTGTTGCCACATCGGGATTCTAGTCTTTGATATGGTGCTGTGGCCGATCAGCTGGGGCCTTGGCTAGTCGCTCTCCTCAGAATTACAAAATTCTGACGTAATTGGACTTTTTAGTTACTGTGACCACCCATCAATCCCCCCCCCCCCCACACACACACACGCAAACACGTGCACACACACACACACACACACACACACACACACACACACACACACACACACACACACACACACACACACATATATATTATATATGAAATATAATATATATATATATATATATATATATATATATCCTCTCCTACCCCCCCCCAAAAAAAAACAACAAACAAACAAACACAAAAAAACAACCCAACACACACACCCCAAAAACAACAACAATAAAACACCCCAAAATATAATAAAAACAGGCACGTACACCGAGCGTCTGTGATGCAACGGCTGGGCGTACGTTTTGTGGAGGATTCAAACCAGCGCTGTCCACTCCGTAGTCCCCCATGATACATTATTGTTTGTACCAGCTGTGCTTACAGAGCCACTAGGGACTACTTGGTCAGCCTGACTTTGTATGTAAACTGCCATCAACCATCAGGCCTTTTTACTACGCTACACATTCATGTACTAGGATCACATATTATTATTATCGGTCGTGCAAGCTGCGCGCGCATTTATTTAATTAACGATCGATTTTACTCCAGCGTTGGAAATAATTTATCTTCTTCTCGATCGAGCAGGAAACGGATGATGCAACAAATCACTGAGAATGTTCGCAATCCAAGGACTACTGGTTGCCTATTACTAAATCGTTATCGTAAAACTGAATTACGTTTCCTTTTCTTAATAAAGGGAAAATGTAGAAGCATAATTTGGAAAATTTAGAAGCATAATTTATGCCTGTTTAGTTAAAATATAGAGTGTGGGTATAGGAGGTTAATGGCTGTGTTTTTTAAGTACTAACTGGGCACAATATTATTTAGTCGGGCTTCTTCTCATATTTTCATTGTCCACAAATCACCGACTACAGGGCACTCCGTCAGCGTCAGCTCAATTGGTACCATACTTGACCTCTGAGCGGATGGCCTTGTTTCATTCCTCAACGGGGTGTTCTGAACTCTGGTTGTTTTGAGAAGTTCCTAAGACTCTCCAACCATTTGCCTCGGTCTTCTCGAATGCTAGATTCGCGAGGTGCAGCCTTTTTAAAAAACCTTTTGGTGTTAATATGGAATTTAAACCCATGCACTTTCGCATTTTTCACCGGCAAAACCTGCTAAATTATTATTACATACATTTCTGTTACCTTATGTTCGTAATCGTGTAATACACCTTTCCAGGGGGTCTTGTGGTCTAGAGGTTAAGGCGTTCGCCTCTCATTTAGTGGGTCCCGGGTTCGAATCCTGATAGCGACTGAGAAATTTTCTTCTCTAATATGTTTTCTTTTCACATCTTTTCCAGCTAAGTAACAGTGTTCTGTCGTCTGCTTTTGTCCCCGCTTTCTTCTTCCACCTCCTTTGCCTCCTCCTCTGGGCTCCAGACGCTTTCTGTGCCGCCTTCAACTGCTTCTCCTGGACTCCTTCTTACTGCATGCTGTCTTTCAGCCACACCCCTGATCTTAATTATATGATAGTTAAGATCAACACCTAACCATCTCAGACAAGGGCGAAAATCTCGGAGGTCCCGCGTTCAAGTCGCACACGTTGAAGATCCCTTGGTGGTTCAAAATCGATAGGTTTCGACCACCGTCGGGGCAAAATAAAAATTTCCTACCGAATGAAAATGTTTTGTCTGTCCCGCGCGCTCATGATATGACCTTATGCAATTGCGATCGCAGTTACAAAATTTTTAAAAAGAACAACCACAAAAAAGAACAACCAAAATAAAAAAAAACAAATATTTTCTCCCAAACTGTTTTCTTGATCCAAAGCATTCAATAGCACCCTTATCGTGTTGGTCCTATTAAATTATTTTCTTTCCCTCCGCTGTTTTGGCTTTTCTGCCTTGTTATTTTAAAACTCTAAGTTGTCGTCATCGTTTCAGTGTGTGTCTCTTTAGGTCATGCTCTTAATTTGTAATCAAGACCCTACTTTCATTTGAATACATTATCCTCAATTACCCAGAAATGTGTCAAAATTATAGACCTAATTATTATTATTGTAGATTCTACTACTCTTTTTCCCCCTCTACAGATGGCTTGAGCGTCACTGGTTAAACCTACCCTTTTTTCTTTCCTTCTGTTGTTGAAATCTGTTTATCTGTCTTTCTTTTCTTTCCTGCGCATTATAACAGTTATTGTGTCTTTGCGCTTCGCTTTATTCAAACTCAAATCGCTGCTATCGTGTCTGTGTGCTTCTCTTTACCCGTACTCTAATCAACTGTATTCTTTCATTTATATTAATTACTTTACGTGTAATGCGATGTAAAATTGTAAATTCTAGTCAGTTTTTGTTGTTGAAGGAAGATTGGAAAAAGTGGCTTAATTACCACTTATTTTTGTGGGTGGTTGGCGGGTGCTCTGGTGTGGTTTGCTTCTTCTTTCCTATCAAACATCTATCGTCCTTATCTCCCCTCTTTCTCTTTGTTTGTTACTCTCTTGTAACACCTCTAATCTTCGGCACTTATTTGACCTTATTGTGTTGCAAGTGTCGTAAAACTCTTACTAAAACTAAAAAAGCCACTTATTCTTTTTCTTTATTTTACAGCAGGTTATCATCCCTACGTAACTTGTTTCACTGTCCACGGAATGGCTCTCCTGTTGACCAGCTTTGTCAATAAATTTTAATGTATTTTCAGGTTCTGAAAGGAGGGGACAAAAATGTTGATTTCTACGTCCGAGATCAGAACTGGCAGGTTATGGAAGTTCAAAACTACAAACAAAGTGGCACATACAACCTCGAAAATGCTCGTGCAGGTATGTGAGGACTTTACTTTGGCTTCTGGCTGTTTGTCTGTGTTTCTGTGTGTCTATTTATCTGTGTGTCAGTTTGCATGTCTGTCTGTGTTTCTGTCTGTTTCTCTATGTTTCTGTGTGTATGTGTGTCTGTGTGTTTCTGTCTGTCTGTCTGTCTGTCTGTCTGTCTGTC